AAGCTGCAGCATTGTCCGCCCATGACAATCTTTGATGTTCCGTGAAGTATCCATTGTAATGTTCTATGAACAAGCAGCAGAATATACCTGTGTTGGCAACATCTTCATGTTTGGGAGCATCAGCTACCTCCCGGTCGAAACCGGTGAAAGACATTGTAGGGTCCATATCCTTGATGAATATCCTACCTGCCTTGACTATTCAAATAGCGACTGGTAGCAATTCATTCTCGAATGACAGATGGCCGACAAGGTTGTCGAGGCAACATAGCATCGCTTCTTCACGCCAATGACCAAACATATGTTATGCTTGTCTAGCTGGACAGGGAAGAAGAACTGTATCACACAAAATGATATTTGTTGTGAGAATTTGGAAAACTGCAATGGGATGGGCATTCAGAATTTCTAATATCACCAACATTGGTACCTCACATATTCACAGTCTGCAAAATCAACATTAGAAAGCAATGGGTTAGTAGTAAAACGTTGACAAACGGATGTTGCTAGGTTCATCCATGACTCTTTGTCATCGCATAAACCCAATTCCATAGCTTTCAAAGCATCAGCCTGTTTGGACACTTCCAGAAACTACATCATTGCTAAGTAGTGCACTAGCAAACCATTTAGTTCCAAGGTTGTTTATTATACTTACCACAACGAGTGTGTCAAAGCAGTATCGCGTTAACTTATTATCGTTAAGCATGGTGGCCAAGTTGAGATAATGTGCAAACGCATCCACAATGTTTCTTCCGACGTGGACATCTGGCCGCAATGACTGCAATTCCGACTTAAGCACGGTATACATGTCAGACTGGTGTAATACAACGTCCCTGTACCAAGTGGTTAGTAATTGCCGCATTGGATTGATAAAGTAAACAAGCACGATTGCAGCATTAACAAAAACTCACGAGTCATCGTCCCCTTCGGCCATGGCAAACTTAACCACCGTCATGCACTCCGCCGCTATCTTCTCTTTGGCCATCCTACCCACATGGTATTGTTCAGTTGTCCATTTTATTTCCTTGCGCTATATTTTGTATTTCACCTGAAATGCAGAGCTTCCCTGACCTTCATCTTGTTCTGTTTCGACAATGGTTGTAGTAGATGGACATTCCATATCAACGTCTTCATCACCTTCTTTAGCAAAACCTCAAGCACTAACCCATCTGGCCACATTCACAGCTACTTCCTCTAGTTCCATTGGATGGTCGTCTTCCGCATACCCAATCGGGCCATGTGAATGTAAATGCCTTCACGTCTCCATTCATCACTTACACTTCCGACATCATTGTCCCGCCCATCATAGGTGAGTCTGTCCTCTTGATATAACTGAGTCGATCTATTCGGTCCCTTTACAGTTTCTGCTACATCCTCTACTTCCACTAGATGGTCGACTTCGGCAGACACATATGGGCCATGTGAATTTAAGTGATCTTCTCCTCGCCTTCAACATTTACTCCTTCGATATCATTGTCCTACCGAGCATAGCTAAGTCTGTCCTCCTCATCTATCTGAGGAGATATATTTGTTCCCTTTTCATTTCTTCTACTTCCTCCATTCTTACCCCATCATCCACATGTACCTCATTCAACAATGCATCAATCTCGACTCGTACAACGGAGCTTTTGTACCCCTTTCTCCTTTCCTAATCGATTACTTTTGTTCGCCAACTTGAAGGGCTCGTACATATGAATCAAGGGCGTGTCTTAATAGCCCCTGCTCCAATCACCTCGCCATCCATTTGTGAGGACGAGTAGATATGGCGTTTAGTCCATCGTTCCACTTGTTTTTGAGCAGTTTTTGTCATAACCTCCCTTTGCGCAAACAGCACACCCCCACCACTTACTTAACTTATCATTGTACAAACATAGACATGTATGAAAGGCTACGACGCATTCTGAACTAGAATGCTATATAGCAATTATTGTAACGTCTAATTAGCATGAAGGCAACACACCTCATATTTGCTTGCGTTTGCAAAAATATCCTCCCACTCGTTATCTACTGCTACGTCCATGGTTGATTCGTCCATATTGCCCGTTTCTGCTGTCATGACAGCCGGGATCCCGCCTAACTCGCTGATGAACAAAAGCGATTTATGCACCCTTTCGTCGTCCCATAGTCCACAGGTGGGAGAGGAGAACAGATTCAACTCACGTCTACTCAATGTGTCCAACGTGTGCACCTGCATCGTAGTGTAATGTAATCGATTATAAGACTGTGGGTATGGATGGCAATTGTTATTCTCGAAGTAAATTGATAACACGTACCAGCAATAAATGATAGTCACCGGTGGGAAAGTTCTTGGTCTTCCCGTACTAAAATTTTAACATCCCATGTTTCAATCGGTCACACAAAAGACCTGCCCAGTCACACCTTATTACATTACCATTATCCCAGGCTAGACATTTGGCGAAGCTCCTGATGTTGATATTGTAGTTACTCGTAGGACCAAGTAGTGTCGCTACAACGTACAGGGCGAATAATTTACCAAATCTGTTAGGCATTCTACAACACATTAATGCCTCTAGCAGGACTTTGCAATCAATAGTCCCTCCACGGTTGGCATTGACTCCAATCTCTTCCTCCAGAATGTTGAGCCTGACGCTGGAACATTTACTCCTAACCACCGACCATCCTCCCACAGGTAAACCATATACCCTGCTGATGTCGGATGATGCAAAGCTAATCTGCATCCCGTCACCTACCTCCAGCTTCTCAGACACTGGATTATAGCATTCAAGTAGGCCCCTCACTGTAGAAGAGGGAACCAATGTCATTACAACCTCCAGTAAACCTCTGAAACCCATCCTTACCACTTATGCCTGCAATCAAGCAGTTCCTCCCCTTTCTCGATGAACCTCTTAAGGATTTTCCGCAAACCCAACGTTCTACACCGGAACTGATTCTCGCCCCCGTCCATGTAATTTCTCCCTTGCGTTCGTCCAATAAAATCCTACCAGCGAAACCCTAACTTTGCAGTACGAACATGATGAAAAACTTGTGAGGATTGTCTGGAACTCTTTCGAGGAGTCGCCGCCGATTACGCATACCACAAACACTTTCGTTTGGGCTTATTGGACGAAAGATTGGATGTTTCTGTTTGTGGCGATTTAGGGTTTGTGAATATTTTTTTGGTTTTCTCTCCCAACACAAAAGTTCTATTGTCAAATGAGATTGTCGTCGTACCTAAAAATTCAAAATTCGAACAGGGATTGTATTGGCCGCCTTAAAGAATTATTTGGCCCGCTAAAATTGGATGCGCCTTCTCACTTTTCAGCAAAACCTTTGAAAGTAAGCACAACTGGTTATAATATACATACTAGAAGGATTGTACTGATTTGTTTAGAAATCCAAAGCAGGTGGAATTTGTTAACCCGATTCTTATATGACCATATAAATTATTAAGCATTTAGATGAGAAATTTATGTGTGTTAAAAATTTTACTATCAATAACGAATATTAAATTTTACATCTGCTAATACAATACTTGGACAGATAAAATGTCATATTCTATGAGACCAGAATATGATATTCACTACGAATATCCCGAATCTCCCTTGGGGCCAAAAGACACAGTCCGCAAAGTGAACTTGTTTGAGGTCCAATGTATTTATTCCTAGGCCTGTGCATCTATTTATATGACTACCATCATGCGTGGTAAACACCATCCTCACTTTCTCACACACCACCCACCGAAACTTGTCTTGCCAATGGATTCATCAACAACCACTCCACCACCCCCACCGAAGCTACTTCGGGTGGTAAGATGGAGGGGTCGTCGCCATGCAAGGTTTACTGCTACTGCGGGCTCCTAGCACTAATTGAGTTACAAGTCGAGTATGGCGGTGATCGTGAAACACCCAAACCCGGCCGGGTACTACTTTTACCAAAATGCCCTTCATAAATAAAATACTTAAATCCTAAATTGCAGTAGGAAAAATTTTCACAAATAAAATACTGAAAACACACACTTGTAGTTCAAAGCAAAGCCCTAACACGTGGGCAAATTAAGCTCAAACTTAAAAATCTCAAACTGATCTCCAGTCTATACTCATAATCATAAAATGTAAAATAACTAGGTAGTCTATGTCGTTGCTGCTACTGAAAATCTCAACTAGGCATCCTCCGTGATGCTTCAACTGCCCTCCTCTAGCTGGCTGCCCTCGAAATTTTCCTCCCAAACTCGCTGCTCTTTAACTGCTCCTCTAGCTCGCTGCTACTGAACTGGTTCTCGCTCATTCCCTTACTAAGGCCTGGTGAGTGAGTTGGGGTCACTCTACACCCTTACGTTTTAAACTTTCTAATAATTTTGCACTTCTTCTCAAACACTTAAACTCAAACAGAGGGAAGTTGTTTGTACTTCCATTCTTAAAAATCTTACTCTTAAAACTGTATGGGAGTAACTGTTACTCTCCATTCTTAAAGCTTAAATCTCAACTTAAATACTTGACTGACACTGGGATCCCCTACTAGCTAGTCCGGTTGCCAACTCATACGTATGAGAAGCCATCAAGGCTTTCCTTAAACTTAAACTTAGTTAGGGAAGTCGTAACGATTCATCCCCCTAGCATCTTAAACTTATCGTGGTGGCTCTTCACCACGATTCTCAAGAGCATAACTGCTGCTCATCTTAAAAGTCTCAAGAGCATAAATGCTGCTCTGTCTCAAAGATCTCAAGAGCATAACTGCTGCTCTATCTGAGAATCTCAAATGGCAACAGACTGGCGCTAGTGACTAAAAATACTTAAAACGACTTCACCTTCTTGAAGGTGAGTTACTTCTTAAAAAAGAACTTGTTTCTTAAACTTTGACAATAACTCAAACATAACGCTTTAAGGTAAATAGCACAAAATCACCTCAAATAGCACAAAATCACCTCAATCATAGCTCAAACAAAGCACACATAATCAATCATAAACATAACCAAGCAACGGTAACCAATTCGCTAAAATACTTAAAAACATAGTACTTAAAAGAATACGTAAGACGTAGAATTTACCCCCTTTACACTCACCTTATTGATCAGGTCGACTTGGCTTGAGCCAACCACGACGATCGCTTTACCATAGTCACGCGGGCTCTAATCTTTATCCCTCCTACTTGCTTAACCGCTGACGGGCTTGCTTGAGCAGGTAGGTGACGTAGTGGAGAGGCATCCGATAATGGCCACACAATCACGTCCCAAATGCCCTCGTCCACATATGCTTCACTTAATGGTCCTGCTTGCTTCACTTAATGGTCCTGCTTGCTTAAGCAGGTAGCTGACGCCCGGAACGCACCGATGAGCTTGTTTCACTTAAGCAGGTAGCTGCCGTGGCTGGCCCTCGACCGCAATGCACCGATGAGCTTCCTTCACTTAATGGTCATGCTTGCTTAAGCAGGTAGCTGCCGTAGTAGAGAGGCACCATCCCCTTGATTCATGATCCTTGCAGCTGAATTAACCCCCACGCAATTACGTCCGCCCCGGTCCGGTCCTGCTTAAGCAGGTAGCTGACATAGTAGAGAGGCCCAGCACTCATCCTGCCATCATCAGCTTGCATAGCACCGGTTCGGAGATTTGATTCTTCCCGCGAGCAAGTCTTCCACCGCCACATAGCAACGATGAGACGAGCTCGGATAAGCAAGCACCTCTCATTATAGAGGGGAAGATACTGCTCTCTGCCCCTGGGCGCCGCTTTGGCTGCCATTTCCCGAGAGCCTTTCGGTGGAGAAAAGGGTTGCGAGGTTTTGTTTGGGAGTTGCCGAGTAGGGTAAGGCTATAGGGTTTTAATTAGTCCAAGGATACATGTGGAAATTCATACTTGCAAGTGAGTTTAATCCGAAACTCAATTAATGTCGGTAACTTTCTCAATTTATGTCGAAATTCGACACTGCTTGAACCGATAGTTCACATTTTTAGTCCTCATCGGTGATATGGAGGAACTTGAACCAGGGGTATAATAGTCATTTTGACTTTTGGGAAGTGTGGGGTGTGACATTTCCTCCCCCCTTATAAAAATTTCGTCCCCGAAATTTGTTCGAGCTCATCCTTCCATACTCCTCATTCTCGTGCTTCTTTGGGTCAAGATTTCACTCTTGCTATATGAACTTCAATGGCGTGCCCTTACCTTGTCTTGAATAGATTACTATAGTTCTTATATGTACTCATGACAACAAAAGGTATTCTCATCTAGCTCGGTAGCATCGAATAAGTTTGAGTGACTCATTGCCCTTTTCAAAATTTTCCAACTTGGGCCCAGTACTTGATGTTGAACCTATCGAAGTCGAGGTATCACATTTCCTCCCCACTTACAGAAATTTCGCCCTCGAAATTTGTCCACTGTGAGTACCCTAAGCATCGCTTGTGGTAATCCTTTTCACTTCACTGATTTTTATTTCCTTTAACTTATACGACATGACCTAAAATCCTTCTCTCCATTCCCTGCAACTTCAATGTTGTTGTGGCTTCTTAACCCCTCACATTACCTCGGTTGCACCTTGTACATATATAGGAACGATAACTATCCATTGTTTGGTATACGGGACGTTAATGCTCCTCTTGAACCCCAGGGTTACATATGGCGGCTTATCCTCTATCCCATCAGATGGTAAAATTCCTTTAATGTAACTCTTCTCCGGAGTTGACCTCATAGGTCACCTAGGTCCTTGTATCTCCTAACTCTGCATCTCTACTTTCTTCCTCAATGCCTCGTCTTATTGCCTAACCATAAACTGAATGGTCACCACCTCGTTACTTTCTGCTTAGTGTTGGAACCTCATACTACTGTTTCTACTTCCTGTATGCATTAAAGGCATTTTTTGCTTCTTTCTCTAGCTTGTGATCAACTTTATGAATCCTTTCCAGAATCATGACCTTCCATTTTGCGTACTTGCTCACTCTTGGCACCTAACTTAACACTTCCTTATCATCGTTTGACTTGGGAGTTCTCGTACGATCTCTTCTATTGTTCTTTGACCTTGCCTGAAATTCCTTGTACAGTTTCCTCATCCAAGAAATTTTCACCCGAGAGATCACCACATTTCACCCTCATAGGTGGTATTGCTTTCACTTTAGGGTATCCTAGCAGGTTCGCTAAACTCATATCCATCTTACTTCTTTACTCGTGAATCCTCTTACCGATGTTTCACACTAGTACTATATGTCCCTCTTCCTCGATGTAGTCATCTTGGTGCCCGTATTCTCTTCTCACTTATGTACCTTGACCGATAAGGTTTTCCCTTCGACCGTTCTGGACCACCACACTTCTACTTAAATTTGACCATTGAGCTTCTCAGTTCTTGATGGGCTTCCTATGGTCCAACTTATTCCCCACTGGCAATCACCTTAACGCCTCCTTGTTGACCTCCGTATTATTTCGCCGGCTCTTCCTAACTATCTTTCTCCCTGAATTTGTTGTTTTATCAACTACCACCCTTTTCACCATAACCTTCATTATAGCCTTGTGGTTTCCTCCTTACTTCCACAACTCCTTCATCGATGCTTGGTACTAACTTTGATCTACTCAGTTTAGTAGCTCCTCGCCATACCTCCGAGCAACATTTCCACTAGAAACTTTCTCTAGGTAGACTTGCCAGATGACACCCACGACTTCTACACACGATGGTGCTTGGCCACGTCCCAACTATCTTCCTTCACGCATTCATTGTCCGGTCGACAACCACCTTTTTTATTTTGTTTCCTATAGTGTTCTATGGTGCTCTCCTTGCTTCTTTACTTTTACTACCCTTCTGTTGATACTTTGTACTATTTTCGGTCACCAAACTCTGTTGAGTATCTTCTCGTTGTTGTTTTGGGTCAACACTTCCAATAGTGGCTTGCCTTTGGTAGGCTTGAACATACCTCATCCACGTCTTTTGTCTCGACCGATGCATGTACATAGCCTTAATCTCTTAGTGGCTTAACTAAACGTGCATGTTTCATCATTAACTAGTTGTCCCCTCTGGAGCCCTCCTACCATGCCGCGCCCACTTAGAGTGGGGCACCTTGGATAAGGTAACTTCTCTTATTCCTCCTTCTCGGTAATGCTTTCCCTCATCATACCTCTTTGTGCAGCTTCTTGACCTCGATTCACCTAAGACTTGACCCATTAAATTCCTGAAATCTCGTCAAACTCCCTCTGGCCTTTTTGCTCTTCCTTGGTATTGTTCGCAAACTCACTTCATTACGACCGTTTAGACTCTTCCTCGAATTCTCGAACTTTCATTAGAACTTCTAATGAACATTGTACTTGCTTGTCTATACCCTGTTGATTGAATGATTTACTTCTACGGCTGGTTCCGAGACCTAAGCTCTTAGCCGTCTAGTTCCAACTTAGTAGAGAGGTTCCTCCTTCTGTCACCCCTCATGCACCCTAGGCGGCTAGGTGATCCCTCCATTTAGGATAAGACAATCCCATAACAGATCATCGCGAACTCTTGCATTCCCCTTTCAACGGTCCTAAAATCCTCTTAACCTTTTGTGATCTAGGTAGTTTGTGAAGTCTCTAATATCCTCTTTATAATTTGGTGTTATCTTAGTATCCAACTCACGCACTGCTGAGAAGTGGTTCTCTATTCGTACTGCCATTTACTAGCTAAATGTTATTCTCTCTCACATTCCATGTCTTTTCTTATGTATTGACTCCCCACTATCTTCTACCAGGCATGCTTTAGTCTTTGGTGGCACTTTCCTCCTCGTCTCGTCCAATGGTGGTCGTACTGAGACCATAACTTGTCCTCTACATCATTTATCTCGTTGCTTGTCTTGTTTCTTTTAAAGGCTTGTCATCGGCCTAACTCCCCAGGGTCATGTACCCTCTTCTGTAGTGACGTAGTTTATGTATAAGGGTTCCTTTGTCGTCATATGTAAATGACCATGCCTCATCTTCGCCTTGACTTATTGACTTCTTGACGTCCTTACATACTCCTTATAACCTACTTATTTCCTCCTTCGCTTCCTTTATACTACCCTAGCATTTCTTAAAGTCTAAACATTCCTCTGCTCCTTGTCACTGTGTTGTAATGGCGTTGAGCCATCGACCACAAAAACTAGCTGAGGGACTTCTCGGGGTACCACTTCATTTCTTGACCCGTTGCCCACTTTCCACTGCTTAGGACCAAAGACCCTAACATCATCATATTATCATAGCTACTGGCATCTGGTGATTGTTCCTCTTCCTTTGGAGATTCATATTTCTCCCCTTTGTTTGTCTTAGCTTATTAGATCATCCACTTGTTTCCTGGTAGTAAAATCCTCGTACTACTCTCTCATCTCCTTCCAATCCTTGAGGTATTCCCTTTCAATTGGCACCTCTTTGCTGGTGTTTGGAGTTGAAGACCTCGCACATTTGATTATACCTCCACCGACCTTTGCAACGTTCCTCCTTCCTTTTCTAGGTTGATGACGATGATCTGTTTGCTAACATCCGAGTAGTTGATTAACTAATTTAAAAACTACTATCCATCATGTCGATAAGATACTTGATCTTGAGAGACTTTTAGATTCCACTTGGGTTGGTCACGTTTCTTTCACCCTTTCTTTCTTACTGGCGATGACCATATGGAGATGACCATATGCCTAAATCGCGTCCCAGCCTATTCTTAAACAATCGCACCCCGGGCTACCATCCCTTCGTGCCGTGTTGTCATAGTCATTCACCTTAATATGACTAGAGTAGACTGGAGATTCTATAAACTCTTAAAAGAAGATCCTTGACTCGTTTTCTTTTCCTTTAAAACAAAAGCCTTTAAAACTGAGACCGATATTCCAGTATTCATTGGAGACCAAGGAACAGAGGAAGACCGGCTCTGATACCAAAATGAAACACCCTAACCTGGCCGGGTACTACTTTTACGAAAATGCCCTTTATAAATAAAATACTAAAATCCTAAATTGCAGTAGGAAAAATTTTCACAAATAAAATACTGAAAACACACACTTGTAGTTCAAAGCAAAGCCCTAACACGTGGGCAAATTAAGCTCAAACTTAAAAATCTCAAACTGATCTCCAGTCTATACTCATAATCATAAAATGTAAATAACTAGGTAGTCTATGTCATTACTGCTACTCAAAATCTCAACTAGGCATCCTCCGTGATGCTTGCACTGCCCTCGTCTAGCTGGCTGCCCTCGAACTTTTCCTCCCGAACTCGCTGCTCTCTAACTGTTCCTCTAGCTAGCTGCTACTGAACTGGTTCTCGCTCATTCCCTTAATAAGGCCTGGTGAGTGAGTTGGGGTCAGTCTACGCCCTTACGTTTTAAACTTTCTAACAATTTTGCACTTCTTCTCAAACACTTAAACTCAAACTGAGGGAAGTTGTTTGTACTTCCATTCTTAAAAATCTTACTCTTAAAACTGTATGGGAGTAACTGTTACTCTCCATTCTTAAAGCTTAAATCTCAACTTAAATACTTGACTGACACTGGAATTCCCCACTAGCTAGTCCGGTCGCCAACTCATACGTATGAGAAGCCATCAAGGCTTTCCTTAAACTTAAACTTAGTTAGGGAAGTCGTAACGATTCATCCCCCTAACATCTTAAACTTATCGTGGTGGCTCTTCACCACGATTCTCAAAAGCATAACTGCTGCTCATCTTAAAAGTCTCAAGAGCATAACTGCTGCTCTGTCTCAAAGATCTCAAGAGCATAACTGCTGCTCTATCTGAAAATCTCAAATGGTAACGGACTGGCGCTAGTGACTAAAAACACTTAAAACGACTTCACCTTCTTGAAGGTGAGTTACTTCTTAAAAAAGAACTTGTTTCTTAAACTTTG